CTCTTGAATACATATATAACTGTAGGTACAACAGTTTTGATTTGATTACAGTTTTTATTCCTTCTTTTGCATTTCTAATACTTTACATTTACAGATAAACTTTAAATTTTTGCATGCTTTAACGTTTGAAATAACTATGTTATATATGAATATATATATACGTCTATTTTATATATTTTTTTGCAATTTTTGTATTTATGGGACTTCTACATACATATACAAACATATTCTGTATTCCCTCTTATCTACATACATACATATATTTACTTGAGTATGCTCATTTTAGTTAATTACTAAGATGTTACTAAATGACGCTTGGTTGTAATTGTGATGTAGATAGACCTGAAACATTTTTTTTTTCTGTGTTCCAGTAAATAATGGCGTCAACTAGTAAGTATGTGAATGCAAAGCACTACAAATTTTGAAGGACATACACCAACACTTCAACTGACTTTTTCTTGCAATGATAGCACATAATTTGAGACAGCATATACATATATAGGTGTCTTTGAAAAAACAGTGACAATCTACATTAAGAATCAACATGCATCTCAACAGTTTCAAATTTTGCTTATTCATATTTTTAAACATCTCTCATTTTCTGATTCCACTCGCAATATTTTAATTGCGAAATTTCAAAGACTTGGCAAATACTAACGGGTTGTGTATTTTAAATTATATGCATTTTGGTTTGAAAATAAAATTTGGGTTTTACTTTAACAGCCGGTTTCACTAGCCATTTAAATTGAAAGTGATTTTTTATTTTGTCAGTTTCCAAAAATTAAAATCATTTTTCACTTAAACTGCTTTCGTGAAATTGGATGTAAAAGCTTTAGGTTTCTAAGATACATACATATGTATATGTATATGTATATGTAATTATGCATAAGCTCGTTGCTTAGCTGCGAAATCAAATCAAACAACCTAAACGAGTATTTCGATATGTTTTAACTTGAAATTTATTTGAAAATCTTAATCCAAATACTTAGTCAGGGTAATCATCTAAAAACGTGAGTGCATCGTGGCCTCTTAAACTTCGTCGGTTAATTAAACCGGTTGTCCACACAAGTTTACAAGGTTTAACAGTCTCGCGGCATTTAGGCATTTAGATGAGTTGCCATAGTAGAAAAAAAATCAGTAGCTTCAGGTATGTATAAGAACATTCAAAAATATTATATTTTACAACAGTTGGTTTATAAAAATTACACAGGCATGCAATGATTTCCCCCTTAAAAAAAACTTATTAGCCATTTGGGTACACACTTAGTTTTTCTCCCGACCAAAAATTCTCACACGCACTTAACGAAAATTTACTATTAAAATTTTACAGTTAAATTTTTGGAGGAAGCTTTAAATTTTATAAAGTAGGAACGGCTATTGAACGAACGGCTATCGAATATTTTGAGAAACTTGTTTTCATGGCAGAAATATCCTCTGAGATTTGCCATTGCCTGCCCAGAGCTACCGAGCTAATTTTTTTTTTTTTTTTTGTAATTTAAAGTTACTTCCTAATTCTTTATAAGAAGAATTAATTGGCCAGCAAAAAGGCTTAAAACGCCATCTCCATGTTTTATTTTTTGATCATGGTAAAGGAAAAGTGTTTTTAAGTAAAGGTGTTACCTCACAGGTGGTCTCATACTAATTTGGTTTAAATCCGATCATTGGATCATGAAGAAATAACCGATAATCTTAATTTTTTATATGAGAATTGAAGTCGGTGTTGTTTTTTACTTAAAAATTACTTGTTAATTTAACATATGTATCTAAAAATTAAAAAACTGCATAATTATTGGAAGGGGGAAGAGTTCAATTTCGCAGGCCTGTATTGTTTAATTGTAAAACATTCATGAATTTATTAATTTTAAGATCGTTAAAAACGGAGATATCATTGTTATAGTTATGTATGTACATACCTGAAACCACAGATCTTTATCCACCATTTTCTGCTCTTTATATTCCCAGTTGAATATGCTGCTATGCTTGAACATCATTTAACTCAGCAATATTTAATGGTACACATACATAAATAGTCGTAAAAATAATTATGTTATAAAACAATGTACACCTGCTTTCGTTAATGAAGTTACAGTGTGCTATTTAGTCAGACTATCTGAACTGATCACAACTCTACCTCCAGTGTGCATAAACCTATGAGTATGTATATAGATAGTATTTTCTTTCCTTTTAATTCGCATATCACCAGGACAATAGCGTATAAAGCAAGTGGTAGCAGGATTTTTTTTTATCAAGTAACAAACCAGTATTTATGTTTTCGTTTTTGTTCATTTTACATCTATAAGAGTATATAATACGTTTTCGCCTGTGCGTCAATATTGTTAAGGTTTACTGCAATCCTATTCTCTTTACTTCACTTGTACACTGAGTAAGTCGTTGGGATAATGCACAGCATTCCTTCACGATATTTTATTCACCGTCATTATTGCATTTGCACTTTTGATCATTCGTCTAATCAGGTAGCATATGTACAAAGCTGACTGGGAACATGCCATGTCTCGTGGGATCGCCCTCAATTACGCCTTCCATCCAATTTTCATCATCGGTGCGTTCATTAAGCACTATTAATATTTCACCTTCTTTGAATTCTAACTCATCATCATTATCCGCAGCGCAATCGTATAAGGCGCGACAACGACGATGTCCATTCTGTTGGATGGGGCAGAGGAAAAATGATTAAAAGTGTATAAAATTAAACTCCTTTTAAATTGTAAGTCTCTGATATACACGTACATAGTTGTATTTTCCACCCCCAACACCACCACCACCACCACCACCACTGCTACTGGTGCCACTTTTCAGTTGATTGTCTGGCGAAGAACTGATGCGATCATTGTCACTTGACGATAGATTTGAGTCGGCGGAATTATCCAAACCGCCACCGCTACTACCGCTACCACCTCGAGCGTGTCCATCACCTCCACCGTTTCCGCCGCCTCGTCCCCCCGAGGAATCCAACTCGGTTGCATGCCAGGGTTCATAGTCACTATAGTTCATAGATTGATTGATAAGCTGCGGAAAAATTCAGAATATTTTGTTACAAATATGTATTTTATTTGTGTTCTTAAATGTATTTTAATATTTAGTAGTACTTTGAACAAAATATTTAGTATTTTTAAAACAGCAAGTCTTGATACATCTGCATTAAACAATTATAAAACCAAAGCAAAACCTGAGAGCGAAATGAATTTATAAATTAACTCTTTTAATCGAGTATCTGCAGCTTGTAATTGATTAGAATGGCAAGTTTGAGCGAAAAATTTTATGATTTTATTGTTAATATGCACTTGAGATGGCCTTAAGAAAGCGCTTTTGAGAAGACGATTTGTTGTCTAAAACGTATACAAAATTATTATACTGAAACGGAAACAGAACAAAACGACAGACAAAAAGGTTAAAAAACATATTGTGCACTGTTTACCGTCTCTTCACTTGGTTGGGACAATCTCACTAAATTTGTTATCTTGCGCTGTAAATTATAAATTTAAATTTAGTTCACTATTATTACAAGACAATTGATAAAGTTATAATTCATTGATATTAAATTTAAACGATAAGTGAGCTGTTAGATGTTATGAGCGAAATACGATGAAATTTTAGCTGATCAATGAGTCGAAGGCTCGCCGGTGTTTTTGATATCGTCACACTATTTTGAGGCCTAAGCTATTGAAACGACTGCGCATTAGACCAGAGCCAAGGGTTCAGTAGAAAAGTCACCGGGGTATGAATAAGCACGGCGGTCGGTTTGAGTTGCACACAGAAAGAAAAGTTCTATAAACAGCTTGACCGATACGCAATTATCTATTTTCAAGTATACATATCTACATATGTACCCGTAGTTGGTATGATTGCCGTACTGAGTGCCATACTTGCATAAGAGCGTTGAGCTTGCGCTTGCTAACTTGTTTTTTTTCCTAACGGGGATGTGTTGTTGGCCGCTGTTGCCAAAGGGTTATACACAACTTTCTACAAGGAACGCGATGAATTGCCAAATGAAATGTTAAATGTCATAACTAGACACTGGTAAATGACCTGAAATCTAGAAATCGAAGACGCCAAAAATAAGATTCCTCAAAGCCTAATAACCGATAATTAGAAGCCTAATAACTAGGGCTAGGAATCTCGTGCACTAAAAAAATTAAAAATATGCGCATATAATATTCACTCAAAATTAAAAAATATGCACTATAAACAAGTAAAATATGCAATTAAAAATGTTTACGTAATATTTTGTTGTCGATACAAGAATAAATAACACATGTACATATTTCATTTATTCAGATATACACACGCAAATAAGAAATGTATTTTAATAAGAAAATAACGAAAACAATTAATTTCAAAACAAGATACATTTTTATGTATAACATTAGTTAATAATCAAGCAGACAGTTACAATCTTATATAAATAGAAACATTGACAGTTTAATACAGAGGTTCAGATGAATATTGAAAAAAATTACAGGTAATTTTTTTGTCAAAAGATTTCGCCTCAAATTTAAATTGTTGTAAATAAAAAAAAGCAAAAATATGCAAAAATCACATGGATTTATTGTAAAATATCGCTAGCTTAGAGTGAAAAGTCGCTAAGTCCACTTTTTATGAAAACTCATATTTTGATATAGGAGGCTAGAGAAATTGAATAGGCATCGTTTCGAAAATTATAAAGGTACTTGCTTTATTTTTTCCTCTTCATAAGAAATCAAAGGAAAATTTGATAAGTCCAAAAGAAGCACCACAAATCCGATAAGGCCAAATTAATACGACATCTTTTAATAAATATCGAATCCTTCTGATTCTTATGGAGTTTGGCTTTGCTTTAAACGCGCAAAATGTTTGATTCAAAGTCTTGAGAAATAGTTAAAGAAAATGGCTATAGGAAGATTTTTCCCTCTCCTGTAAAATTTTTAAAATGGGACTTAGCAACTTTTCTTTCTAAGCTAGCGATACGCTAAAATATGCAAGAGCAGGTATTTTTGGCAAATATGCAAAACCATGCATTTATTGTAAAACATGCAAAAATATGCACTAACGATTGAATGCCATTTTAAAGGAAATTTCATTATTCGCAAATGTACTTAGCCATTTCCCTTTGAAGATGCCCAGTAAAAACATGCATTTGCATGAGATTCCGAGCCCTACTAATACCCGATAATTAGATGTTTAGAATCACTAAAACGTTTCACAAAAGTATCCTAAAACAACTTGAAGACTGTTTGTAGAATACCAATCAACCGGGCTCACATTTTCAACTAATGTTGCGTTTTACGATTTTAAACAAAATTATAAAATTTTTTTCACAGTTTTCACAGAAACCGATTTGGAAACTATAACATTCCCGAATTTTGAAGCATCGAAAATTTGCATTCTATAAAAAATCGAAAATTTTTTAAAATTTAGAAAATGAGAGCATGTCTTACCGAGGTTTTTATTTCATAAAAAAAAAAACGTAAGGTTTCGTAAAACTGAAGTGGAGTTATAAATTTTATACCTGTGACCTAAAAAAAAAATCGTTTCTTATAATCGAATCGATACACGATGGCTTTTTGCAGGAATGAATCGGATTTTGCTGCAGCCAAAGGTTACCAGGCCAATGACGGTGGTTCCTGCAATACCAGGGGCAACCCGGCTACAGACTATCACCTCAGCACACCTCCAAGCATCAGCCGGTTTGGAGGAAAGCGCTGCTATAACAAATTTCAACTAACGGATCCTTAACCCATTTATGTTTTCAGATAATAACTTCATAGTTATTTAAAATGATACCTTCGTTTGTATAGCACTATGTTTCTCTTCTTACCTTCCTCGGTGGCGCTACCGGTCCTCCGTCATCCATTGAACATATACTCTCATTTGATTGTCCATTGGAAATTTCTCGTTCTGTGAGAAAAAAAGTTGAAAGATGTATGTATGTATGTATATATGTATATATGTATGTATGTATGTATGTATGTATGTATTGTATAAATCGTCGATGCCTTTTCAAAACCGCCTGAATCGCCGTTGTGGCTCAAATGACATTTGGTAACCCTAAACTCTAGGCATCGATATTTATGAATAAAAATCGTAAAATCATTATTAAAACAACAGATTTGTACAATAAAAGCTAGATAAAATACCGCCCATCCTGTAAACATTGAGTGCCATAAGATAGGCGATTTGGCAATTGGTCGATGGGCGGTTTTGCAAGGACATCGACAAAATACATTTCGCATATAGGCGTTTCACATACCTTGTGGTGGTCCTGGTGGTGGAATTTTTGGCCGTGTCAATGCCGATTTGTCCACATGCTTTAATGTTGGAATTTCACCCGCTGGCGGAAGCACCAATTTCGCGCCGGCCAAATGGAAATTACGATTAACGGATTCACCACTTGGTGAACGTTTATGTCCAAACGTGGTCATAACCGGCAACACATTACCAGCGCTCCCGCCACTGGGATCTTGTGACACCACTTGCGTTTTATCGTAGCGATCGTAAAAACTATGCATGGTGCCATGACTACCGCTAATCCTCGGGCTGCCATCCATTGAACGCAAGTGCGGCAAAGTTCCATACACTACGTCCATCGACTGATTTTTGTGATTTAAATTTCGTAAATCGCTGCTATCGAAATTTTGCGAATGACGCGGCGGATGAGGCAACGTACCGTACATGGAATTAGTAGTGGTTGTGATAACAGATGAAACCACACCTGGCGGGGGAGCAGGCGCAGTACGCTTTTTTAAAGAATTCATATTTGCTATAACGAAGAAATGAAATAAATTTTACAATCGTAATCACACCACCATCGTATGTTTTCCTCTTGCCTGTGGATGTTGACTTACGTGCACCTGGTATGTGCACCAGCTCGCTATTTACAATGCTTCTTGAGACGCGTCCACTTTGGCTTGAAGCCGAACTAGGACTGGAACCACCACCGCCAGCGTTATTACCACCGCGACCACCGGTATCAACAGTGCCGCCACCGCTTAAATAATGACCCATTGAGACATGTTGCTTGGGCGACGTGCCCGCTGATTGTGGGTACGTGGCTACACCGGACGGCAATGTGAACTGCCTACTGGGGCAATTGGCAATCGGACTAGAACTGCTTTGTATAGAATCACATGTTGAGGAACGAGAACGCAGCACCGGCGAGTCACCGCCAGCAAAGCTAGGTGGACGTGAACGCGACTTCTGCGTATATTGGAAGAGCATAAAAGAAGGGAATATGTTTAATTTAACTTAGCTATAAGTACCCGCTCATCGATCACTGTATCATCATCAGAGAAATCCGTGGATCCATCCTCATTTGGCAAATTCCAATCAGTATTAATGTGATCGAAAGCGCTCTTTTCACGTCGCATGGCACATTCAATCTACAAAACAACAAAAAAGCAGAAGAAAATTAATACACTCAGTCATAATTTACATTACACTTGATAACTCACCAGCTCTTTACAGGCGTTATGACCCATTTCTTTGGCAATATCCAGTGGTGTTTTGTTTTGTGAATTACGCATTTCATAATCGGCACCAGAACGCAATAATAATTTAATGCACTCCCGCCGATCATGCAATGCACATAAATGAAGCGCGGTATTCTTGCCGATCGCATCGATAATACTTGGCGGATTTGTGGCCTTATTTAGACCCTTTGGTGGCATATTCTGAATAAGAAAATCAACAATGTGCAACGTGGAGCCCATCATTTCACGCAGTACGGCCAGATGCAATGCCGTTTCGCCCGCATCCGACGAGGGAAGACAACAAGTGAGATCAGCGCCTTCGGCCCACACTTGCAACAACTGACTCATATCTGCGTTAACAATAGCTTGTTCGAGATCACAACGTAATTCATTGTCGTCCGCACAGGTGCGCATCACATAACGTTTCGCAACATATTTCGCACGTATGAAATCATATCGCTCTTCCCTGTGAAAAATAAAAAATAAATAATTAAACGAGTATGCGAAATGAAACAGTAATAAAATAAATGAAAAAGCCCAATAGCTTGATAGCATGTACTCACATTGCACTGTCTGGTGTGAGTTTACCCTTGCCCAATGTTGCCTCCATAATTTCATTGAGTGTACTATTACCCATGGCGCGTGCAATCAGCAGATTTGCGGTGGTCAAATTGTCTAATGTGAGGCTTTGTATACGCGAATGATGAACGCCCAGGTCACGATGCACACCCGAGCATTGTATGCAGACGAGTATGCCGAAATTCAGACTGATCCAGGTGACATCATTGCGGGAACCACAATCGCAACACTGATCATTGCCGGGTAGCATTTGGACGTATCTAAAAATATTGATGCATATAATGAACAAACATCTACACAAAAGGACATAAGAAAAATAAATACTACCGTATAACAGTCTTTTGAAGTTCCACTAAACTCGGACTCATTTGCGGATTCGCATGCTGGAATGCTTTAGCTAAAGCCTTCTCCTTACAGTTTACCAAAACAGCCATCCAAGCTTTCTGGTCCGCCTCGTCTTCAGCTTGAAAGTGGTACGGACGATTGTCTGGTAAAAAAAATTTAAAGAAATCCTGAGTACATGCGTGTTTGAGGAACCAAATTCGTATAAAAAAAGTATAAGTAGTAGTATGAATAAAGCAGTGTCATCAAAATGGTATGTAAGAGTACTGTATTATATAGAGATCTCCACTTTTTCCCTTCATTCAATAACTTACAACTGATTAGATCAAAGCCGCGCTTGTCATCTGGTACTGGCTTGATTTGACATGTCAACAAATTGACACGTGTTGGCGGTTTCGATTCATCCGCATGGCAGATGTCCAGAAAACCATCCGCTGTTACCCGACAACGCCTCTTCTGCCAGACGCGACGTACTTTGCCTTCACTCTTCTTCAACAGATGACCCGAACGTGTCACACCATGATGTTTGTCGCCTTGCAGTTGATGCAATGAGTAGCCACCAGCATTCGCAGCACCCTTCTCGGATGGCACATTCTCCGCGCGCTCGAAATCTGGCGTGCTGCGCAAAAGTGTTCGCAAATCGAGCAAACTGCGACGATCCTCATCTTGCTTTTGCTTGATCTGCTGCAATTTCTCGCTTAAATCACAAATGTACGTGCCAAAGTGTTCGATTGTTTGTAGGCCATCCTTGAAGTAACTGCGGCAGAACGTGTTTTTATTGAACAATAGAAACGTAAGAAAAGGCAATTGCAATCAATTGGAGAAATAATTTAAAAATTAATATGCAAAGCACAGACGCATGCGCGCTACACACTATGTATGTATGTATTTACTTATTGCATATTTGGCAGCAAACAAAAATTACAATTGTCTTACTTATTTAGCGCGTGATAATACTCGATGAAATGCTGCAGCAGCTCGATACCAGTTTTTGTTTTAATTTCCTTATATTTCAGCAAATACTGCAAGGTGCCCGGCACAAAGGCGATGCGGGTAGATGCAATAAAAAATGAAGCATCCAAAACGAAATGAGATAAAAACACACACAAACAATTAGAATCGTAAATTTTAAATAAACAAACAACAACCACACGCGCGAACACACATCCACACTCCATATACTCACCTCACACGTCTGTAGCTGATAAAGTCGACGCTCCTTTTCCATTTCATCTGCTACGACAGCTGCATCGATTTCGGTGCGTACCATACCTGCCTCTTTGGCTTGTGCCTTCTTTTCCTTTTCGATTTTTATAAATTTCGCTTCGTAATCCTTGGCAGCCTTGTCGAAAGGTCGTTTCATGTCGCCCTTCACACCGCGCAATTCGCTTTTCAGCATTGAATCCACCGGAAACATGATGATGTTGTTGATGTTTTGCATCTGCGCAAATATAAAAAAAAAACGCGAGAACAGTGAAAAGGCATTACAAATTTTTAAAACACATTTGTACATTACGTATGTATGTATATTTGCATATGTATGTAGTAGTAAAACCTACCAGCGTCTTCATTAAAGCGCTGAGCTCTTTTGTGACGACGGAAAACTTGAGAAAAGCGGCACCGATATCCGGCTCATCTTGGTCAATTACCTTGCCGCCAAGACGCTCCAATGCGCGCACCAGAAACATTTCATTGTCCACATGTGCTGCATCGGATTTAAGTAATTTTAATGTGTCAATATTTTGTTGCATTAAAGGACAAGCTGGTAAAAAAAAATGTAAATAATACTTACTGTTTCCGGAATTGTGTATCGCTTTCACTGCCTTTTTCAGCTTTGTGAGCCCTTCACGATCGAATTCGAGACGCTGAAAAAAATTAGTGACATTTTTATGTGAAAGGACGACTTTATTGATAATTCAAGGCGTTAAGTTAAAATTGTGTTATAGCAAGTCAGTTGTCTTTAAAATTGGCTGCGAAAAAAAATATTTAACTTGCACTCATTAAACTTTCATGTATACCAGCTATGTTTGTAGTCTGAATAACGTAAAAGTGAAAATAAATTGACCTACATACACTGAGAAAAGAGTGTAGTTAGAGCAGCTGAATATCTTTCTCTCAACACGTGATTTGGTTATAGTTACACGGTTTGGCTACAGTTACCAAATCTTGACAAATGTATTTATAGGTTTTTTTTTCATGCAAAGTGTCGACAAATGTAAGCGTTTGTGTACTTTCCTCGAATCTTCCAACACACTGAGAAAATACTTGAGTTATGTCTACTAAATATAGTTAAAGCTACCAAATCTTGTATTGACATAAATAAATTTAGCTGATTCTTTTCTCAGTGTAAGAGTTAGTCATCCGTGTATATCTCTTCCAAAAATTGCGTAAACAAGTACTAACAAATACGAGGTGGCGCAAAATGAATCACCATTCTTCTTAATCACTTCTTTCTTTGGAGCTACTTGGAAGTTGCGGGTTTATGTATGCCAACAAGCCTCAGACGATCGCAGCCCTTAAGTGGAATATTGGACAGGAAAGCGAACAGTTATCACCGGAAATCTAGCGGAAAGTCATGGAAAATGCGATAAAACGGACCCAAATGTGTATCATCAATACTGGCGTCAGCCTCTTGACGGATAACCTCATTTCCACTTAGCAGAAAAAATTGGGGACAAAAATTTATATGTGATGCCCTAGACTTTAGTAGTATCGATTTTGGGTAATAAACGAAAAAAAAAATTTTTTAATTTTTTGAGTCTCCACAGAGGAATCTGGCCTTTGACCCCTTTGCGACACGCCTTAACCGTCTCCAATCGGGACGTTTATATGTGATATCTTTGGCCGTGGTATTACCGATTAAAGGAGTGGGACCGAAAAAAGTCGTTTATTTGATTTTTTAAGGACCACCCTAATGTACATAGTACAACTTATTTTCTTATCGATTCCACTTATTGTGGCAAAAATGTGTAGGAAATGCACCCACAAATGGCCAAAAGTTTAAGGCAGATTTTTTTTTAGCTAAAAAATTTAATTCAACAATGAAATGTTGTGATTTCCGAAATAGCTATCACTTCTACCCTTTTTTCAAATTATTGTTGCTTTTCCACAATAAGTTTTTCATTAAAAACGGCCTCAAGCTCAATAAAAATTGTTGAATATAATTGTTATAAGGCCATAAAATAACAAAAACCAATAAAAAATTTAATCTGAAAATAACGGTCACAAAATTAACGAAAAAATAAAAATCAAAAATTAACGATTTTAACGGTTAAATTATTTTTACTATAAAGATCATAACCGTTACGGTTTATGATCAAGAAAACACACACCAGTTGATGCAATGAATTTTAATCCGCCATACTTTGTTCATTTACATACATACATATAGCGTTGTAAAGCAAATACACACAGCTCATCGTTCCATCGTCTGCGGTATTCGCCGTCGACAACACGTAATTCTCTATCGAACATTAAAAACTCTGCAATTTCTATGCGTTTTATTTTCAAATCATCATGTCTAATACAAATAATAATATTATTATTTTGATACGACACTCAAGTTTGTGCAATTAATAAGGAATGCCACATCTCCATACGCACGTCATTCCATTTTCTAGCTGTTTCCACTGATTGTTGTTGCATTCAATAGGCTAAATTTCATTGCATTCCATTGCATTTACATTTGTTTTTACATTTCTTTTTTATATACAATTTGCATATTTTAAATAGACAATTGTATCAAACCACATGCAGTCAAACGATCGACCCGACGAGCCTGCACCGTTTCGAAAGCGACACAAGGTCGTCTCAGTTATTAAACTTAATAACCCATTTATTTGCGCATGTGGAAAATCAAAAAAAAATAAACAAAAATTGAATTTGTGGCTCGCCCGTTTCATTGCTCACATGTGCATCTAAAGATACATATGTATGTGCATTTGTGCATACATACTTACGGTGACCATATTTATGACAGCCGAATACGGGACGAAAAATTATTTTGCCAATTTTTTCCACAAAAGCTAGAGGATTTTAAAACCCTGAAGTGAAGTAGCATCTTTATATGGCTTATATTTTTCGATCTTTTGTGAAAGCAGCACATAAATATGCGGTTGTAACATCACTTATTTGTAGAATATTTTTCCATAGCTTTGTACTTTGTGCTCGGGATTTTTAAAAACATTCCTAGGCAGGAAACATGTTGAAAATATCCGATTACTTTGGAAGCACGAAATTCAGTGGATTATTTTCAGACTCGGATTTCGACCAAGCACAATGCAGAGAATAACATCCGGAGCGAGCTGAATTGCAAAGGGTTCCAAATGGTGCCACTTCCCTTCCATGTTTAAGAACTTCTTTACTTCTACAACATTCTCATGGTAGCGTTCTTATTTGGAGTTTCTCAAGTTGAAGATACATACATACAATACAATCAGCAAAACTTTTTTTGCCGTAGTTTCACCTAATGAATATATTCTTCCTTCACAAAATTTGAAAATTGCCTCCACATCACAGCACACTGGACAGCAAGCTGTGTGCATTTTCTTGTTGGTTTTGGAATACGTAAACAAAGCTTCAAATTTTAGAGAAAAATGTAAAGAAAAATGATAATTTAAAGACGAGATACTCGGCAAAAGTAAGATCAGTTGCTCTACTGCTGCTACCTGTTCAATATGCTTTGCTCCACACAATATATTCAACGTGAAATCCGTTGAATAAAAACCTTTGAAAACCCTAAATACTTGTGAAATTTCTTTAAGAAATTTGAACAACAATTATTAACGTCTAATTTCGATTCATACTCACAAATACCCAGTTTTTCTACTTAAAATTATAACTTCAGATACCATCTACATACAGTGCCGGACAAAAGTATTGGCACAGAGAATTTTTCGCAATGTCTGCAAAGTTTTTTATTCTAATTTATTTTAGCTAATTTTTTATAAAAATATGGTTCGTCCTACACCAAAAAACATAAAAACAAAATCTCTAACTTTGTGTAAAACTCAGGAAAATTCAATAAAATTGCATACTAATTTGCAATTTTTTATTCAGATTTAAAAAAAGAATCTAAATATGCAGTTTTATAGCCCATCTGATTTTATCATAACAAAATGCAAGCTTGAAGTTACTAAAAAATCGCGTTGATTTTTGGCAATTTTTTTCACTCAGGTTCTTCCATACAAAATATGTTCGACAATTATTTATTGTATGGAGAAAATGAGCAACACCTTCTACTAAAAAATTGCCAAAACTGAACGCGATTTTTTAGACACTTTAAACTTGCACTTTGTGCAATAAAACTTTGGGCTATAAAACTGCATACTTAGAATTTTTCTGAAAAATCTGAATAGAAAGTTGCAAATTAGTATGAAAATTTATTGAATTTTCCTGAGTTTTGCACAAGGTTTAGAGTTTTTGTTTTTAGGTTTTTTTGGTGAAGTACGAACTATATTTTTATTAAAAAATATTGAAAATAAATTAGAATAAAAAATTTTGCATATATTGCGAAAGATTCTCTGCGCCAATACTTTTGTCCGGCCCTGTATGTGTTCCTCACTTCGAAACACAAGCGTCCAGATTTAACAATAAGAACTGGTTCATAGTAGAGGTATACGCCGCCGAGCCACGCCGCCGCCGCCGCCGTTTTTTGTCATTCCTCACGCGCCGCCGCCGAGTTACGAAAATATCGGCGCGGCGGCGGCGGCGGCGGCGTTCGGCGCCTAAGGAATTTTGTACAAAATTTTCATGATGTATGTACATTGAATACATCGTTTGAAGGAACTAAATATTACTTGTATAAAAACACAATTTTACGAAATGAAAATTACATTTTTAAATTAGTTTTTTTTTTGCATAATTTGGGCCACTGGACAAGAGTATGATCTCCTTTATTTTTTCCAAAATAGCATAACTTAGAAAAAACATAGGTAACATATTTTTTGACGACAGCGTTTATTACAGTTAAATTAGGGTCGAATACTGGTAATCTAACGATTTTTTCCGCAGTAGACAATTCTTTTCTATACTACAAAAATACTACTTTTTTATACACTTACTACAACAACAAGAAACTTATAACACATCAAAAACTTTAGCTCCAATATCTCAGAAAGCAGTTTTAATAGAAGCGGCCTCTTTGCATCTAACTCCTCAATTATTGAAGATAAATCAAAGACAAGTTGATTTTTCTATGTATTTTTTTAATATTTTAAACAAACACTTTTTTGCTAATATTTACATTCGTAAGTTATTTTATTCTGGGGTTCCACATACGTATACAAGTACTAGGTGGATGTGTGAAAATTACGTTAGCATTCCTTAGTGGTGGTCAAACCCCAGGAAGGTTTTGCTCCCTCGCATCGCTATGTTTTCTACACAGGGTTAAAGTTCCGTCTTTATGGTAAACATTAGTATTATTTTTCATTACATTCGGTTCTCCTTAGAAAAATTTGGCGCTTCATATTTTAGTGGAAGTTTTAACCATCTATAAGCCATTTTTTTCAACAGTGGGTCAAAAAGTCCCATTCTGGTTCGAGTTGATAAGACTATTGCAAAAATTTATTGAGAGCGGCATAAATTACCCCAATAACTAAACTTTAAACAATTTTTTGTTTCTTTAAATTTAAATAGTACATACGGATCTGTAGAGAATATAGAGATCCGTGTGTGTATGTATGTATATACCTCAGACCTTCTTCTGTTCACCCATCAATCAGCGCCAGACACTCAGCATTTTAATTCAAGTAGGAAGTAACAATATTTAAATTTAAAGCTAATTCAATAATGAAGTAAATAGAATTATAATAATAGAATAATTGGCATGGCGAATGCCTAAATGATAAGATTAGTAGCCTCATGG